CTGTATATTCGACCAGAGACCGCTCATACGAATTACTAAAAATTCCCAAAAAATGGAACAATCTCCAACAGATCAGCCTTAAAAAGTACCTGGAGAAGCAGCTTTTTCATAGTTCAATTCAATTTCGGTGCGGCAGTGTAAAAAACATTCCGTTCCAGCAGCCAAACCGCTGGTGATGCTGGCATACGCTAGTTCGATATCTATCCTTTCCTTGTCACTGCCGCTGGCGAATGCTGAAAACGCTAGCGTACGCTGCCGCAAAGTATGAACGCAGCCTTACTTGGTACGGACTTGTCTAGGTTTGTATCAAGCAACTGCGCAAATCACTGCATAGGCCGCGTCATACTTAATATGCCATCACAAGTTCTAGAAGTGGAAGTGGAATGATTCATACCAGAAGGGGATTTGTTAACTTCAAGGACTTTGCCCTCCCCCCCCCCTATAATTAAGGGGAAAGAGCTGCTTACATCAGATTGTTCGACTCTCATGCCTGTTCACCCATGCCGCGCATGTTCAGCTCAAGTTCCGTATGTATCTAACAATTCAGGATTCTCGAAATCTTCATTAAATTTCTAATCCTGCATTGAACAAGAATCACTGTGTGCAGTTCCTAAGGCAGCGTTCAGACTCAACGCGCTGTACAGCGCAGCAGCGTGCGTCGCTGCGCTTTACCGCGCGTTGCTGCGCTGTATAGCGCATTGATCCTGAACGCTGCCCATTGCTACGAAGTGTCAGCTAGTATAATTACAAAGCTGTTTCCTTTGAAACAAAGATTATTCTTCTTCAGGTTTCAGACCTTCCGCTGAGCCCCGGCAGGCGACAGCCGGATCTGTTCATCACTGTGGATTAATTCATTATAGAACATTGACCTGCATCCTCACGACCAGTCGAATAGGGTGATGAGTGCTCCTGAACGAATTCAAATTTTTTTTATCTTTTCCGCAAAGCACACGCTGAAACCCTTTTATCCCATTTATGTGCACTTTTCTTTTTTTTGAAGTGCAAAGCGACATTCTCGTACAGTACAACAGTGTCCTGCAGCACTCGTAGGTACAGTATCAATCAACTGGACTTCGGTCAGTTATAGTCATGATACCTGCAAACGATAGGGCGTTTGACGGTAGCAGATCATAGCGTACCAGAGCAGCCTCTGATCGCCTCTAGCGGGCTCAGTATGGCTTCATTTGTTCGAGGCAAAAAGTACACTCACCTCTGTGACTCCTGGTCCTCGTCATGTGTGAAGTGAGTGAGTCTGCAGCCAAAGTAGGGTGCCAGTTTTTCAGGGTAAAACTTCACGGGAATGGGGTTGGAAATTAGCGGCACCGAACGCCATCTCCAGACTGCGCCCGCGGTGCCGCGCGGCCAGCCACACGCCTAACCATAGCCAAACGCGTACTTGTCTGCGCCCTCCCACTTCTGGTTATTCTCTACCGCTGAGTACGTGCTGCGCTGCGGGACTATGGTATCACGCAAGTGCTCCACCTCGAGCTCAGCGCGGGGGGAGTCGAGGGACTGCCTGGGCATCACTACCCTGCAGCCCGTTCCCGTGCACTTCTGAGCGGAGAAGCTGCTTCGCTTCTACTTCCCTTCTACTTCTCTTCTACTTCTCTTCTACTTCTCTTCTACTTCCCTTCTACTTCTCTTCTACTTCCCCTCTACTTTCTCTACTTCCCTTCTACTT